TAAAATAATAACACATACCACAATCCAAAATTATATATCATCTGTAAGGCTTTAATTCTTATCTCTAAGAAAAAAGTGGCCACAGATGATTTCCATATTTTTATCTACTGTTACCAAGTATCAATTTATGATTAAAGTTTTACTTTATATATATTTTATCAATTAAGGTATAAAATTAAAGTTATATTTAAAATACATGCCCCCATATTATGTTCTTTATTTTTAACATACTGCCTGCTTGTGTTAAATTGTACATAGAATTGTGGCTTTTGCATACAATCATGAAAACATTTGCTTTTATTTGTGGCAGAAACTGGTTGTGCTATAACTGGTGGCTAAAAAGGGGATCAGAGCAGCTATCTCACAGAGGAAGAATTAAGCAGAGATATAAGACCTACATTTTGTCAGCATTTATACATTTATAAATAAAATCACTTATAAATAAAAACAGTATTTTTCTGATTCACATGGAGAAGAAAGCGAATCTAAGTCCTACTTAACTTACTGCTACAAGGGGGCGTGTATAAGTGCTCAATGTGTATAGACAACAGTCTTCCCTCTTAATGTGGTTTCTTTCCCTTCTTCCCCGTTCAATCTCATTTCTCACAGATATGTGTGTATACTAAGAGTGAGTGTTTTGTCATGGGGGTTGAGGAGAAACAGTGACCTTCTTAGAGTCTCAGTTTATCCTGTCAGATGATTTCCAGAACCTTCGACTTCACTGAGGGTTAGCCTGAGGGCTTCCCGACAAGAAACCTGAGGACCTTTGGTCTGAGCTCTTTCAAGTCAAGGAAACCAAGGTCCTGCTGCCCCACGGAGCCAGCTGGTCAGGAACTTCACAAACGAAACAGAGACTGGAAAAGCACCACCTAATCTGATGAGCGATTAAACAACAGCTAGACAGTTCCAAGCCTTTAAATTAAAACATCTCAAATTCAAGTTCACAGATTGAACATGCTTTATTCCTGAATACAATTTTATCTAAAACTAATGTTATACAATTTTATCTAAAAATAATGTTATCCATGTCTTCACATGTTCTAAAAGTTATATTGCAAGTCAAGTGAATCCCTTGATTAGAAAGAACTGGGCAGATTTACTCATGTAATGGAAATGATTAACGTTGCAGACATAAATAACACATCGGTGTTGTTATACAGGAAATTGGCAGCTGAGAGATTTATATAGCTCCTGAAGAAAATTTGCCTATAGTTAGAAATTGGTAAAAAACAAAAACAAAAACAAAACAAAACAAAAAAACTATTTTATTCATAAATATATTACCCTTTTTTTCCTTTCAAGTAGAAACAAAATGCTTATTCTAAATCATTTTTTTTCTTTCTTGTCTCTTCTTGTCACATTGGCAAAGAGATCATTTATATAAAAGCTCCAAATTTGAATTTGTGGGCAAACGAGGAAAAAGCAATAGGAAGCCTGAGCAGGGAAAGCAGGAAGTTATGAAAATTTCCAGAATTATTTCTGGGAGCTCCTGGTTGCTGCAATCTAACCTTCCATCTCCTTGAAAGACACCTCAGTTTCTGATGAAATACTACTCAGTTAATGGACACATATTTAAAAATTGATTTGAGAGAGAGAGAGAGGAAGGGAGAGAGACATGGGTCCACTGCCTCCTACAGGCCCCCTACTGGGAATTGAGCCTGCAACCCAGGCAAGTGCCCTGATTGGACATTGAACTGGTGGCCTTTTGGTGCATGGGACAGTGCTCCACCAACTGAACCACACCAGCCAGGATGACAGCCAAGGTCTGATGAGAGTGTGTGTGTTTACTTGAAGGTCCTTACTTCCCGTTCAGCATTGGTAAAGAGTTGTGAACACTAGCCAAAGTGTTTGGATTTAAATCTTGGATCTGCCTCATACCAGATGTAAGACCATGGAAAAGTTACTTAAATTCTGTTCTGAATTTCTTCTCTTTTAGGAAATTGCATCTACTACATAGGGTTGTTATGAGGATTAAATGAGATAATACACACAAAGTTCTTAGGACCATGTCTGACATATAGAATATTCTTATTAAATATTAGCTACTCTTACTTTTTAGGGAATGGGCTTTTAAAAATTAGAATAAATAATATCAGGAACTATTTTGGGATGAGCAAAGGAAATAATTTTTCAACTAATTACAGAAATATTTTTTGTAGAAAAAATTTAAATCCAAATACACAAACTATATAATATTCTCACTATCCTTCCAATTTTTCATATGCACATTCATGTATGTGTTCATATGAAAATCATTACACATATATTACGTATTCAATAAATATATCCAAAACAGTAATGGAATTGTACTATACTATTTTAGATAATTTTCAAGTCGGATTTCTACATTTTAATGGCTGAATAGCATTCTTATATGAATATATTTATTTTACAGAATCAATACTGTTATTGCACATTTAGGTTGTTTCCAAGTTTCACTCATATAATGCTTGGGCAAGCATCCTCTTAGCTAAATTGTGCACATTATTTTCTTAGAGTAAATTACTGGAAGTAAATCACTAGATAAAAGAGATGCATATTTTGCCAAAACCGGTTTGGCTCAGTTTATAGAGCATCGGTCTGCGAACTGAAGAGTCCCAGGTTTGATTCTGGTCAAGGGCATGTACATTGGTTGTGGGCACATTCCCCGGTAGCGGGTGTGCAGGAGGCAGCTGGTCGATGATTCTCTCATTGATGTTTCTAGCTCTCTATCCCTCTCCCTTCCTCTCTGTGAAAAATCAATAAAATATATTTAAAAATTGATGCATATTTTAAAGCATTTACTTTTTTCTACATTTGTAAAAAAGTATATTATATAATAAAGAACTAATATGTTAATTAGATGACCTTCCAGAATGACCTTAAGGACAACCAGTGGGTGGGGGGCGGGGCTGCAGGGCCTCAAGGCAGCCGGTGCTGTTATTGCTGAGCCCCTGGCATGAATTTTGTGTATCAGGCCTGCCTCTAGTAGAATATAGTGCTGATTATAGAAAGGGAAAATTATGGAAGTTTATAAGAAAATATTAATCTCATACTCTCTACAGCATTTCTCTCTTTTAATAGGTAACCAATGTTAAGTTTGTTATATGTTTTCCACTGGATTTATTTCTTTTCTACTTTTAATGGGAGTGAGGTCAAACCCCTCAGGGTTCTTTGTAACTGCTTTTATTTCACTAATTTATATCTCTTAACACGAATACCTTTCCCTATCAGAACACAGATCTAATTTGCTCATTTATGAGCTGTGGAAGACTAATTCAACCATCTTTCTATTGAAGAACATGAATATTGCTTCAAGTCATTTGCTATTATAAATACTGCTGCAATTAACATTTTAAAATCTTTGATACCTATTCCCAGCTTGTTCTCCAGCAGTTACATTATTCCATTCCCACCAGCACTGGGACAGGCTGCCTTTACCCAAATCATCACTGAGCATTATTTTTGATCTTGTGCCAATCTAAAAGGCAAAAAAAATGATATCTTGTTGTGTTGATTTGCATTTCTTTGATTACTAATTAGATTGAACTTTCTCATATGTTCACTGGTCAATTTGCATTTCTTCTTTTGTGTAATTCCTGTTTTGGGTCTTTTATGTGTTTTCCCACCAAAGTGTTTCTTTCCTTGATTAAATAGATTATTTAATTATCATATGTTGTGCATATTTCTGCCCAGTTGGCCACCTTTGCTTATGACTTCCATTTATGGGTCCCTAGGACTTTATAGGCATTAAATAACTTTTATGGGAAGTCTCTCAGTCTTTGTATATCTGCCTATACTGTCATACTTAGGGTTTCACTAACTTATGGTTATACATAGTTTTATCTAATCTAGATATATTAGTGTACATTAAGATATAGGGCTCTGATTTTTCTTTTTCTTTTTCTTTTTCTTTTTTTTGGTTAAAGATTAACTAGTTCTAAATCATCCTTTACTCAGTATTTCCAACTGAACTTAGATGCCATTATTGTTCCATTAGTGATATTTAAAATGTATATGAGTGTTATTTCTTTAGATCAGTCACTTATATAATCTGAATGTTTTCATTATTATCTACACTAATAAAAGAGAAATACCTCCGTAACGCCCACCAGCCAATCAGGAGTGAGCATGCAAATTAACCCAACAAAGGTGATGGGTTAATTTGCATATGCAGGGTTGGAGCAGCAGGGTGGGTGGGAATGCCTGCTATGAGGGGGATGGTGGGAGGCAGATGGAGCTCCAGGAGTGGCGCTCTGGCTGGAGCAGAGAAGGCTGAAGGCTCTGGCTGGAGCAAATACTGAAGGCTCCGGCCAGAGTGAAGATGGAAGGTGGTGGCCAGAGCGAAGGCAAAACCAGTGCCTGCGATTCCATGTTGGCCAGAGTAGAAGCTTAGAATTACTTTTGCAAAGTAAAAGGACACTCCTACTTTGAAAGTCAATTGGAAGGGTCCTTTACTACAATAATTATTTTCTGATCTGTGGTTAAACAATAAAAATTCAAACCTCTATAAAATAAAGTCTGATTGTGGTAACATTCCAGTGGAACCTTCTTTTTAGATCAGCAGGGATTCATATTTTCTAATCATGATAATCTTACTCTGCCTTCTTTTGGGCATGTGTTACTTTACCTAGAATGTACATTTTCTTTCCTTTAAATGTTACCCAGTTTTATTAGTGCATTTTGTTCTTTCCACTAACTCTACTCTGTCCATATTACTAGCACAGAGACTCTCGTGGCATATCCATTTTTATTGCTGAGATGTTGCTTTATGTTCTTATCCTCAGGTTTTGAATGTCCTAGGCCTTGAGTGGCAGAGACTGTCTTCCATTTTTCTATTTTTAAATCTTGGGAAAACAGATCCAATTTTTCTTGTCTTTCCTTCCCATCTTCTATAGAGATTGACATAAAGGACAATCAGTAAGATTACAAATGAGAAAGATTTTCTAGGTTTTTACTATGATTTGTGCATGGTAGATTGGACACAATGGTTTTGATTGGAAAACTTAATTTCTTTTCAGGTGATTCCAAGTATGACTTGCTATGTAAGGAGGAGCATATTGAACTCAAGGACATATTCTCTGTCAAACTGAAACGGCGTTATTTTGCTAGTGGAAATGGCACTTTATTGGGTATCACACTGTTCATCTGTTTGAAAAAGGAACAAAATAAATTAAAGGATTCTACACTCGATCTTATTAATTTAAGCGAAGACCACTGCAACATATGGTTTCAACAGTTCAAGAAAATTTTGGCAGGTAAGTACTCCTTATGGGAATTTTTAATGAGTCTAGTTTCCTTGATGTGAGTTATTAATCTAAACATGGTATTGTATTTATGAGTACAGAAATTCTTAAGTTTTATCCTCGGGTTTGAATGTCCTAGGCCTATGTTAACATAGTTTCCTTCTATATTAATATAGTTTATATTAATATAGTTTCCTTTTAATTCCAATTTGTTGAGTGTTTTATACATGAAGGGCATTAAATTTTGTCACATGCTTTTTCTACATAGATTGAGATCATATTTTTTTTTTTCCTTCATTTTGTTAATGTGGCGAATTACATTTTCATACATTGAACCATCTTTGCGATACAGAAATAAATCCCACTTGGTCATGGTATATTCTTTTAATATGTTATTGAATTTGCTAGTATTTTGTTGAGGATTTTTACATCATTATCCATAAGAGATATTGGTCTGTAGTGTTTTGTTTTTTTTCCCTTGTAGTATGTTTGCTTGGCTTTGGTATTGGGGTAATACTGGCCTCATAGGATGAGATAGGAAGTAACTTTTTAAAAAAAAATTTTAATTGATTTTATAGAGAGGAAGGGAGAGGGGATAGTTAGAAACATCCATGAGAAACAACAGTCAGCTGCCTCCTGCACGCCCCCTACTGGGGATCGAGCCAGCAACTAAGGTATATGCCCTAGATGGGAATCAAACCTGGAAACATTCAGTCCACAGGCTGACGCTCTATCCACTGAGCAAAACTGGTTAGGGCAGGAAGTAACTCCTGAAAGACCATTTCTATGTGGAAGCTTCGATAATCTGAAATAACACAGTTCTTAAGTAATTTAGTTAAGAGTAGTTTTTGAAAGCATATTTATTTTTCTATGAATGTCCCGAGTTTATATTAGAATTTCTTTTCCTTATACCTAATACAATGATGGCAAGTGCATATATGTACTGTGTGGCTTGAGAATAAGAGCGTTTTTTTGCAGATAACATTTAAATTGTTTATTTCAGGATAGATTTTTCTAAAGTTAAATAATCAGAGAAAAGAGAACATATTTACTAGAATATTAACTCCTAATGAAGTCAATGTATCTGACAATATGTTATTTGTATTTTATGTCATAAATAAAATCATGAATTCAAACAGTGCAAGTTGGATTTTTAGAAAGTATCTTGTTAAATAACCACACAGAGTTTTGGGATTCCCCCCCCCCCCCCCTCAGATTTGTGTATCTTGCTTTCTCTTTAGCTCATTTCTTTCTGTTTGCCAGATTGATCAGGGTAGAGGCAGCTGGTGTGGTTGGTGGTGCAGTTTGGAGGAAGATGACACAGGGCAGAGATGGGTGCCAGACGAAGAGTGGGCACATGCTGATGTTAGGCCGTTTCAGGCCAGGCATCACTAATTAAAAAGACTGGGTGTTGTGCCAGGTACATACTAGACTTATTGGGAGGATCACTTCACAAATTATAACAATGTCCAACCTCTATGCTGTACACTGACGCGAATATAAAATAATTTTCAATGTAAATGTAATTTGAAAAAAAAAAGACTGAGGACCTACGTTGGTCAAGGGCAGCCAATTGATAGGTTGCACCTATAAAAGATAAGCTGATGTGACAGTAAAACTAGGTGACCTGTTACTAAGGCCCCTATGCTTCCTTGTGGGACGTTTGGGACCTTCGAGGATACCTGATCCTTTTAAGAAGATAGAAAACCACAGAAGCTTTAGTTTAGTTCATCTCCCTGAAACAGAGAAAGTATATATATACACACATGCATACAGGTGGGTCAAAAATAGGTTTACACTTGTGACTACACAAAATAAAGAGTTTATTCTTGCGTTATTATTTACAATTGCATTATTTTCCATATGAATAACTGTAAATCTACGTTTGCCCCACCCTGTATATTTAACTTAAAACATTCTACTTTATTAATGGGCCTTTCATGGTGTTATTTTAAATTCATGTCAGAGAAGATTTTTTTAAAAATCTAAAATAAAAATGTAACATTAATGAGATCAACTTAATAAACTTCTCTAACACTGGCAGGTACCCATGAGCCTTGCCTGGTCTATAAAATAAGACTGTGTCCTTTTAGGAGAGGCAAAGCTCTTCCTTGCACTGGAGGTCTGAGGCTATCTGTTCTCATGGAGCTTATGAAGGGCTAGCTGAGTGAGGTGTGAGAGGCAACGTCCTCAATAGATCTCACCCATCAAATCAATAGTGAGTAAGCATAGGACATCACAACAAAGTTTAATTTCATAAGAGCAATTTTATAGGAATAGAGGAGCTTGTAAAAAAAAAAATCCAAAAGATTCCCTCCTCCCTACCCCCTCATCTTAATGAATGATGTTTTGGCTTGGTCTAGGGTTAAAATCTAGATGAATTACATATATTTTAGGCTCTCAACTTTTGGGAATGTTGCTTTTTATACCTTTGATTTTGATAAGAGTTAAAGGTATTATAATAATTCGGTTATATTCTCTGGCATGGTTCTGGAGTACAGAGTGATTTATTGGTTAAAGTAAAATAGATTGATACACTTGTCTGTTGATGGGCACTTGGGTTGTTTCCATATGTTGGCTATTGTAAATAATGCTGCAATGAACATAGGGGGTGCATATATCATATATCCTTTTGAATTAGTGTATTGGGTTTCTTCAAATATATTCCCAGAAGTGGAATTGCAATTCCATTTTTAATTTTTTAAGGATACTTCATACCGTTTTCCATAGTGGTTAAACCAATCTTCATTCCCACAAACAGTACACTAGGGTTCCCTTTTCTCCATATCCTCCCCAACACTTGTTTGTTGATTTATTGATGATAGCTCTTCTGATAGGTGTAAGTTGCTATCTCATTGTGGTTTTAATTTGTTTTTCTCTGATGATTAGTGCTGTTGAATATTTTTTCATATATCTATTGGCCATGTGCATATCTTCTCTGGAGAAGTGTCTATTCAAATCCTTTATCCAGTTTTTAATTGGATTGTTTGTTTTGGTGTTGAGTTGTAAAAGTTACTTATCAATGTTAAATACTAACCCTTTATCAGATAGATGTATTATTGGAGAATATGTCCTCCCATTCAGTGGGTTGCCTTTTTCATTTTATTGATGGTTTCCTTCACGGTGCAAAACGTTTTAGTTTGATGTCCCATTTATTTATTTATTTATATATTTTGCTTCCCTTGCCCGAGGAGATATATCAGAAAAAAATATTGCTATGATAATTGTCCAAGATTTTACTGCCTATGTTTTCTGATAGTATTTTTATGGTTTTGAGTCTTACTATTAAGTCTTCAATTCATTTTGAGTTTATTCTTGTATATTCTGTAAGAAGGTGGTCTAGTCTTATTTTTTTGCATATGTCTGTAGATAAGCAAAACAACAACAACAAGAAGAAAAAGCAAGACAGGATTAAAATCATTTAATAAAAATGAAGAAATCTAACTAAGACAGACTGAATGAATGTCTGATCCATCTGTACCCCCAATTGGATACAGGTTCTGTGGGAGGAGCCAACTCCTTCTCCTCCCTGAGCCCCACAAAGACAGTGTCACCTTAACCCTACATAAATGAATGTGGAGGGACATGGATGTGAGTCAGGAAGGTAATCCACAAATAGACCACACTCCATGGAAATCAGAACCAGAGAGGAAGGCATGTTTGGCATGTGGACTGAGCCAATTGTTTGTCTCTCAGATGACAGGCACTTGAATGAACATCTAGACTACATAGATTTGAAAGAGAAAGAAACAACCAAGAAAAATATTCTAAGACTGTAACCTTAAAAGTGAAGTATAGGTAGAACATAATGTTTGGTAGGGCGTTGGTGTGGGCTATAGAAATGGCTCACGATTGAATATTAGACATCACTATTTAAAATCCAAGACCTTGCTTTTAAATGGTGCTGTGGCAAGACCAGCAGATTAAAAAAATTTTTTTTTTTGCATTTGTTTATTTGAATGTTGTCTTTAATCAGCAAATTGAATTTGTTTCCTGCTAGCCTTTTGCATCTTTCTCCACTCTCCCCCTCTATTAAGGAAATCATGAAAGCCTCAACTTCACCTTTTAGTTTAACTAGCTTAACAATTACAATTTTAGTGTATTTGGATATTGAGTAACTTTCAAATATGTGCATTTATATGTTGAACTGGAGCAATGAATATGATGTGAGGAATTTTTGAGGAAAGAACAAATTGACATCACAAGAAGGGGAGAAGTTTAAGGCTAACTGACAGTACTTCAAGTTCAAAGGCAAACTGACAAAGACTGACCAGAAGGAGTTTCAACATGGTTTGTGTTTTTCTTGGAAAATATGTTAAGTCCTTTTACACAGTTAAGCATAGCATTTTTTAAAAAATTCTTAGTAATAGAAAAGTTACCGTAACTTTATTCACTAATAGGCAATATAGGTTAATTTATCCAACACACGTTTTGTAGCAGGCACTGTGTTAAGTGTTGGGGGTACAGAAATGATTGAGATATAATCCTGGATAAAACATTTTTGCCCTTCGGGACAAACAAGGAAACTTTTATTATAAATGTATTAAAGACCACAATGAAAATATGAACAAACTAGTAAGGTTTAAAACTATTGATTGTTGATTCATAAATTCAGGTCTTTAAAAAAATGTGATTGAGCCTGACTGGCATGGTTCGGTGGTTAATTACTGACCTATGAACCAGGAGGTTACAGGTCAGGGCACATGCCCAGGTTGTGGGCTTGATCCCCAGTGTGGGGCATGCAGGAGGCAGCCGGTCAATGATTCTCTCTCATCATTGATATTTCTACTTCTCTCTCCCTCTCCCTTCCTTTCTGAAATTAATAAAAAGACATATTTTTTTAAAATGTGATTGATTAAGGCTGATATGTAGTGAGTGATAAGCCTAACACATTGTCATTGTGGTGAAACTCTTTTATGTCTTTTTTTTTTAAACATCTGTGATACAAAGACAAACATGCACAACCTTTAAATATAGCATGTGTGTACATTAGATATGTTAATTTTTATTCA